CGCCTGGGGGCCCTACCTTGTACCCGAGCATTGGATGTCGTGTGTGCGCGGCTGGCTCCTCGCCCCTTCCCCGCTCCTGTCTGCAGCCTTCATCTGTGGATCTGTGAGCTAGGAAACATAGCCGCTCACGGCCACCCCCCTGAAGCACTTCAGCCTTGTCACCGCCACACAGGACTCCAGGTCCCCCTCCCCACACCCCCCAGGGGGGCACGCTTCCTGTCTCATGATAGCGGACCACAGGGCATCACAACCCCTTAAAGAAGCATCTTTAATCCTTCCTTTCCCTCCCGCCCCCACTCCAGTTCACCGGCACGCGCTGTCAGCTCCACCTTCAAAAGGCGTCCCCGTACCGTGGTGTGGGGAGAAGTACGACAGTTTCTCAAAAAATTAAACACAGACTTCGCACGCAGTCCCGCAGCTCCTCGTGTGAGCGTCCATCCAGGAGCAGTAAGAGCAGAGACTCAACAGGTATCGCTCACCCACGCGCACAGCAGCGTTATTCCCGAGAGCCAGAAAGAGGAGGCAACCACCCGGCCACCGACGGAGGACGGAGGCAGTGGATGCGGGTGTGCACACAGCAGAGCGCGAGTCGCCTGGTCACTTAATGCCACAGAAATGTACACTTAAAAATTGTTCAAATGTTAGGGGGGTACAGCTCGGTGGGAGAGTGTGTGCTTAGCATGCACGGGGTCCTGGTGCCTCCCCCGCACCTCCATCAAAAATAAAGAAATAAGCCTAATTACCCCACCCAAAAATTGTTAAAATATTGTTTCTTATTATGTATATTTTGCCCCAATAATCTTTTTTCTTTAAGAGCAGGCAGACAAATGGGTTGGACATAGAGGTTCATTTCCTGTCCCTCGTGGGGTTCGGTGGCCTGAGCTAGCTAACGGAAAATGGGCTGAAGGTGGCCCCGGCCCAGTAAGGCCACTTCCGACCTCAGAAACCCCCACTTTGTTCCCACCTCCCCCATGCAGGATGGCTGGTGTCCGTAACCTGCCTTCCCCCGGCCTCCCCTGCGAGGTGCTGAACGTCGGGTTATCACGTGCCAGCTCAACTATTTCTCTACTTGTAAGTTTCTTCCGACATCCTGAGTGGTGTCCGCCCCGCCCGGGGACACCGGTGACCTGTGTTCTGATGCTTTTCTGGTCCCCTCTCTAGACGGTGTCTGGAGCTCAGTGGACACCTATGAATGGAATCCGCTCAGCCTGCACCTTGTACTGCACAGCCACCCCGTAGTTCAGGGCTGGGGCTGCTCTGGGTTCTGGCACTTTCCAGCTGACTTTCTGAGCCCCCGACTCCTCACCCACATCTGAAACAGAGTGGGCTGGCCCAGGACAACCTGAAGGCTCCATCAGCTCACTGTTTAGTTGGCAATGTGCAAGGAGCTCTCCTGTGCGCCCAGGTCCAACGTGCAGGGCATGGGGTCTGGACAGGGAAGGGAGCCCAGGGAGGGAGGGGGCGGCGGTGAGGCTGGACCAGAGGCATGACAGGAGGGAGAGGAGGAGGGAGAAGGGACGGGAAACAACAGCAGCAGGAAAGCTCCCGGTGTCAGAGGAGCCAGAGACAGGGAGCTGGGCCGCCAGGCCCCTGGGTGGCTAAAGTGGTGCCACGATGTTTGCTAGAGACTGGGGCACAGAGAGGGGAAGCGGGAGGGTGTGGGCTGCTGGGAGGGGGTTCTCTAGGCTGCACCTCCTGGGCGGGCTCCTGAGGCTGTGTGCGCTGGCAGCCAAACCACACCCAAAGTGCTGCTGCTGGCAGATTAAGTCAACAAAGATTAAGTCAAAAGAACAGAGAATTAGTGATCCATTAATCAAGGAAGCGATTTAAATGGATGGGTTTTTTTCATTATTTATCTTAAATATCCAAAGGGCCTCAGGCATCCCTAGGCTACCTTGAACTTCTCCCTTGAAACCATCTGATTAATGTTCAGGAGAGGGAGAGGGAATAAAGGGTTTTGAAAAGGAGAGTTCTAGGGTAATCACTGCACTGCGCATTCGTCACAGGCAGCCGGGCGGGGGAGGGGAGGGGGAACTTGTCCAAGGTCACCTAGAACTCATGGCAATGTTAGGGCTCAAAACCAGGTCCGGGGTGATCCCCTGCCTGGTTTGCAGGGGACCAATGGAGTACCTGTTTAGGACCCGAGACTAACATGCTAAAACCAGGAAAGACTTACACAAACTGAGATGAAAGGTCACCCTACCAGGTCCCCAACCCTTGGACCAGGGCTGTTGCTGCCCGTGAGACTAAACAGAAGGGCTGTCAGCCTTGGCCTCTGTGGTATGCTGGCATCAGAACCCACACCACCCCGGTGGACCCCACTGAATCATGACCGTCCTCGGAGCAGTGGTCATCACCTTCCAAGGGACCAGGAGACCCTGAGCCTCAGATCTCCATTTGGGGAGCTGCACCCCGGCAGGAGCGCCCTGGACCCAATTCAGTTTCTTGTGCCTTCAGGCCCTTGGGATTCGCCAGCTCTGCTGCTGGTAGCCCTTTCCGCCAACCCTGCCCTCACAAGGGCCCCTCTGACTCATGTAACACAGGGCTTTAGGGACCCAGTACAAACTGGACCGGGGAACACCCAGTGCATCATTCCAGGCCTGTGTGGGAACAGGGTTGCTTCAGGGAGCCCCGCCCCAGGCCTGGCTTAAGCCAGGTCAGTCTGGTCGCCTCCCATGATGAAGGAGAAATTTTTTTGCTAAACATCCAAAAAAGAAGTGGTCATGGCTTCTGCTCTGCTCTTCCAAGGATGTGTGCACGCCGTGGGGCCCCCGGTTAGGTCTGCTAACCGGTCCCTGCTAACTCTGCAGGG